GGGCTCAATAAAACTCCATCAGGTTTCTTTCCTATAGAACCTTTTAGAACCTTTACTGTCTAACATGCATGATCAATCTGTAACCGCCCAACAGGTTCTTCTTGCCCATTGCCTAGATAGAGGTGACTTATCAAGACAGGGAAACAAACTGTAATAGAGAAAGAATTTAATACACACAGAAGCAGCTAAATGGGAGTCAAAAGTTTCATTATTACTCTAATCAGCCTCCCTGAAATTTCAGATGCTAGGGTTATTTATTTAGTTTGCTGAGCAGGGGGGTATGGAATGAGAAATGCTAATTGGTTGGGTAGGGGATAAAATCATAGGGAGTCTAAGCTGTCCTCTTGAGTCAGTTCCTGGATGGGGGACCACAAGACCAGACGAGCTAGCTTACCAGTCTGGTGGCACCAGCAAATCCATCAGCATGCAGGATCTGAAAAATATCTCAAATACCAAGCTTAGGTTTTACAGTAGTAATGTTATCCACAGGAGCAATTAGGGAGGTTAGGAACCTTGTGGCCTCTGGCCGCATGACTCCTAAGCCATAATTTCTCATCTTGTGGCTGATCTGTTAGTTTTCCAAAGGCAGTCTGGACCCCAAGCAAGGAGGGGTTTGTTTTGGAGAGGGGGGTTATCATCTTTGTTTCAGAGGGAAACTATAAACTAAATTCCTCCCAAAGTTAGTTCAGCCTATGTCCAGGAATGAACAAGGGCAGTTTGGAGGTTAAAGGCAAGATAGAATTGCTTAGCTCACATCTATTTGACTGTCATGTTTTCTTACTGGTATAACTTCTGCATCAAATCTCCAACTTAGCATTCATTTCACAAACAACAAATCACAGAATTCATTTTTGTGCTGAGAATCCCCAAAAGCTATTCTTCAGAAAACACTTAGAAAATCCAGCTCTAATACTTTATTTAAAATAGTGAATGTTTAAAAAAAGTTTATCCTTGTTCCCGTTAATTATCCAGGTTTGCATTAAATCTACTGCTGTGTTTTACTACTGAGTCAAATTGGAAATAAAGTAGAAATTAAATTCTACTTTAGCTGAAAGGCTGCAAAGACTTGAATATGTGGCAATATTTCCCTTTAGTATTCATCAGAATGACTTAAAGGGCTTATTAAAACACAGATTGTTGGCTCCACCCCTCACCCTGAGATTCTTACTTAGCAGGTCTGCAATGGAGCCAAAAATTTGCATCTCTAACAATTTCCCAGGTGATACTGAAGCTGCTGATACAGGAACCACATTTTGTGTTTATTCTCTCAACATAAAATCTCAAAGCTAGTACAGAGGATCCAGAATGATGACCAGCTTCTTCTAACTTGCTGTTCCATCAACCTAGCTCATGACTTGCATCCTCAAAATCACCTCATGATCCAAGGGAGCTTCTCCAATTCTAGCCATCGTGTTAGCTTCAGGGTAGCAGGAAAGGAGTGAAGGCAAAGGGAACATCTCCCAGCCTCGTCAGCTCCTTTTTAGGAGCCTTATTTGCAAGAACTTAGTCAAAAGGCCTCATTACAGGGAAAATGGCAAATATACTCTTGCTGAGTACACTGACAGTCCAAATAATAGTAGGGATCTATAACTAAGGAAGACTGGATATTGAATAGGCAACAAAAAAAAAAAACTGCCATACCACTTAAGTCTACATATACTCCAATTAAGAAGTCCTAATGATTTTGCCTCCCAATTATTTTGTAAGTTTGTCCTATAGGTTTCATCTCTAATTCTGTTTCTCTAGATCTTGCTTTAATCATCTCTCTCCTACTTTATTATAATTGCAATCTAACTAGTCTCCCTACCTACTATCCTGATGATAGGTAGAAGATGGATTTTGAGCGAGCTAAATCTGCTTATAATTCTTCAATAACTCCACATTTTCTATAAAATAATTAGGTATAAGCATTTTATAATTTCATATGAAGCCCTCATCTACCTATTCCCTGCCTTTTACTTCATACTACTTAACAAACTGTTTCTCTCTTCAGTGCTTTCGTGATGTTTTCTCTGCTATTAAGATACTCTTGTGCCTGTAATCCTTCTACTCGGGAGGCTGAGGTGAAAAGATTGCTTGAGCCCAGAAGTTCAGGGTTACAGTGAGTCATGATTTCACCACTGCACTCAAGCCTGAGTGACAGAGCAAGCCCCTGTCTCTAAAAAAGAAAAAAGAAAAAGATACTCCTGCTACTCTCTTTACCATTTCAACTCATCCTCTAAGATTTAACCAAGATACTACCTTCTCCAGAAAGATTTCCTTGACAACTCTCCTTCATAGGAAGAGTACTCCTGTATAATCTCATCAAGTCCAGAGCTGTCACTGGATATTCCACGTTGTACTATAATGTTTGTATCTCTGGATTTCTCAATAGATGGTAATCTTCGTAAGTGTAAGGACCAGTTTTATCTATCTTTATACTTCCAAAACTGGATACAAAGCAGATGACAACTATTATTTGTTGAATAAAAGCATAAGCCTTCATCTCCAGCTAGCCAATATACTGAAAATCTGAATAGGACTTGTCAAGCAATGTAATATCCTTTCCTATCACAAGTATCACATTCTAATCACTCAATTTCAAAAGATAATTAGAATCAGAATATCCTTCTTTAATAACTGTATATCAGTCTGTTCTCATGCTGCTGATAAAGACATACCTGAGACTGGGTAATTTATAAAGGAAAGAGGTTAAAATGGACTCACAGTTCCACATGGCTGGGGAGGCCTCACAATCATGGCAGAAGACAAAGGAAGAGCAAAGGATGTCTTACATGGTGGCAGGCAAGAGGTCTTGTGCAGGGGAACTCCCATTTATAAAACCATCAGCTCTCATGAGACTTATTCACTATCACAAGAACGGTATGGGGGAAACTGTCCCCATGATTCAATGATCTGCACCTGGGCCCACCCTTGACACATGGGGATTATAACAATTCAAGGTGAGATTTGAGTGAGGACACAGCCAAACCATATAATTCCATCCCTGGCCCTTCCCAAATCTCATGTCCTCACATTTCAAAACCAATCATGCCTTCTTGACAGTCTCCCAAAATCTTAACTCATTTCAGCATTAACTCAAAAGTCCAGAGTCCAAAGTCTCATCTGAGACAAGGCAAGTCCCTCTGCCTATGAGCCTGTAAAATCAAAAACAAGTTAGTTACTTCCTAGATACAATGGGGGTACAGGCATTGGGTAAATACACCTGTTCCAAATGGGAGAAATTGGCCAAAACAAAGGGACTACATGCAAGTTTGAAATCCAGTGCCCCATGCAAGTTCGAAAGCCAACAAGGCAGCCAAATCTTAAAGCTTCAAAATGACCTCCGTTGACTCATATGCAGGTCACACTGATGCAAGAGTCGGGTTCCCATGGCCTTGGGCAGCTCTGCCCCTGTGGTTTTGCAGGGTACAGCACCACCCCCCGCCCCCAACTGCTTTCACAAGCTGGTGGTGTCTGCAGCTTTTCCAGGTGCAAAGTGCAAGCTGTCAGTGGATCTACCATTCTGGGGTCTGGAGGACCGTGGCCTTCTCCTCACAGTTCCACTAGGCAGTGCCCCAGTATGAACTCTGTGTGGGTGCTTCAACTCCACATTTTCCTTCCACACTGCCCTAGGAGGGGTTCTCCATGAAGGTCCCACCTCTGCAGAAAACTTCTGCCTGCACATCCAGGTGGTTCCAAAGATCCCCTGAAATGTAGGTGGAGGTTCCCAAACCTCCATTCTTGACTTCTGTGCACCTGCAGGCTCAATGCCACGTAGAAGTTGGAAGTTGCTAAGGCTTGGAGCTTTCACCCTCTGAAGCCATGGGCTGAACTGTACCGTGGACCCTTTTAGCCACAGCTGGAGCAGCTGGGATGCAGTGCACCAAGTCTCTAAGCTGCACATAGCATGGGAACCCTGGGCCCAGCCCATGAAACCATTTTTCCCCCTAGGCCTCTGGGCCTGTGATAGGACAGCCTGCCGCAAAGGTCTCTGATATGCCCTGGAGACATTTTCCCCATTCACTTAGTGATTAACATTTGGCCCCTCATTACTTATGCAAATTTCTACAGCTGGCTTGAATTTCTGCTCAGAAAATAGGTTATTCTTTTCCAGAGCATCATCAGGCTGCAAATTTTCTGAACTTTTATGCTCTGCTCTTAAACATAAGTTCCAATTCCAAACCATATCTTTGTGAATACATAAGACCGAATGCTTTTAACAACACCCGGGTCACATCTTGAATGCTTTGCTACTTAGAAATTTCTTCCACCAGATGCCCTAAATCATCTCTCTCAAGTTCAAAATTGCACAAATCTCTAAGGGAAAAATGCTCCCAGTCTCTTTGCTAAAACATCACAAGAGTCACCTTTATTCCAGTTCCCAAAAAGTTCCTTATCTGCATCTGAGACCACCTCAACCTGGACTTCATTGGCCATATCACTGTCAGCATTTTGGTCAAAGCCATTCAACAAGTCTCCAGGACGTTCCAAACTTTCCCACATCTTCCTATCCTCTTCTGAGCCCTTCAAACTGTTCCAACCTCTGCCTGTTACCCAGTTCCAAAGTCACTTCCACATTTTTTGGTATCTTTACGGCAGCACCCCACTCATGACACCAACTTACTTTATTAGTCTGTTCGCATGCTGCTAATAGACATACGTGAGACTGGATAATTTATAAAGGGAAAAGGTTTAATGGACTCACATTGCTCACATGGCTGGGGAGGCCTCACAAATGTGGCAGAAGGTGAAGGAAGAGTAATGGCATGTCTTAGACGGTAGCAGGCAAAAAGGTTGTGTAGGGCAACTCCCCTTTATAAAACCATCAGATCTCATGAGACTTGCTCACTACCATGAGAACAGTATGGGAAAAACCTGCCCCCATGATTCAATTACCTCCCACCAGGTCCCTCTCACAACACGTGGGGATTATGGGAACTACAATTCAAAATGAAATTTTGGTGGGGACACAGCCAAACCATATCAAACTCCAACTGCAGTTCAAAGCATAAAAACTATTTTGTGCATAGCCAAACATCTTTATTTTTCACAACCTGAATACTAAAGATACAACCCAACTAGTCCCAGAACACTTCTAGATATTTCTGTGTATTAACCAAACTAAACAAATTTTTAAAAAGAACATCTGCAACAATAACAGAATAATAATTTAACAATCAAAGTTGGCTTCACCATTTCTTGTCTTCTCCATACATTTATCCAAGTTCTCCATCTTTATTTCTTCTTCCTTTTTATATGGGGTGTATTCAGTATCTTTTTCTGGGTTTGGAACTGATTTCTCCTTTGGTATCAAGAAACATTCAGCATGTAAAACTTGTTCAGCAGTCATTGAACTTCTATAACATATCAAGCTACAGAGGAGGGATTTGACTTTATCATCCTGTAAGGAAAAACAGGTGTTACAAAACAAAGGAACAAAAGGACAAATCTGTAATGAAGAAGGACAATTCACAAATACTCTTGGTCAGTGATACAAGGCAAAAATCAAGTTTTTCTATTTAGATTTTTAAAGATTCTTACCAAGTTCAACTATAGTTGACCCTTAAACAACACAAGTTTGAACTGCACAGGTAGGTCCACTAATAAGTGGATTTATTTTTTCAATAAATGTAGTCAGGAAGGAGGCGCTTCAAGATGACTGACGAGGTATGTGGTACTCCCCTCAACAAAAAAAACACCAAAATAATGAGTTGACAATCACACTTTAAATAGATCATCTGGCTGGGCACAGTGGCTTATGCCTGTAATCTCAGCACTTTGGGAAGCCATGGTGGGGGGAATCACCTAAGGTCAGGAGTTCAAGACTAGCCTGGCCAACATGGTGAAACCTCGTCTCTACTAAGAGAGTTGTATACTTAGAAGTGAAAGAACAATATCTACCATTACAAAACACATATAAACTCCACTGGTAAAACACACACACAAATAAAGAAGAGAAAGAATTCAAGTGTTACCACTACATAAAACCACGAAACCACAATGAATAAGAGAGAAAGTAAGAAATAAAAGATACACAAAACAACCAGAATCAATTAATACAATGACAGAAATTAACCCTCATGCATGTATCAATAACAGCCTTGAATGTAAACCAGTTAAACTTTCCACTTGAAAAATATAGACTGGTTGAAAGGATTTTTTTTAATGACCCAATTATATGCTGCCAAAAGATGTTCCATACAAAAGGAAACCAAAAGCAAGAAAGTGTAGCTATACTTGTATCAGGTAAGACAGATTTTAAGTCAAAAAGAGCAAAAAGTGACAAAGAAGGTCATTATATAATAATAAAGAGATCAATTCAGCAAGATAATATAACAATTCTAAACATACACATGGATCCAAAAACAGAGCACCCAGATACATAAATCAAATATTATTAGATCTAAAGGGAGAAACAGACTCCACCCAACTCTCACCACTAGACAGATCATCTAGAGAGAAAATTAATTTTTAAAAAAACTGATTTTACACTGCACTTAAAAACCAAATTAACCTAACAGATATTTACAGAATACTTTACCCAACAGCAACAGAATACACATACTTCTCATGAGCATATGGAACATTCTCTAGGAATAGACCATATCTTAAGCCACAAAACAAACCTCAAAAAATGTTTTAAAATTAAAATCATATCCAGTTTCATCTCAGACCACAATGGAAAACTAAAAATCAACAAGAGAAACTGAAAACTATACAAACGCACGGAAATTGGCCAGGCACAGTGGCTCACACCTGTAATCCCAAAACTTTGGGAGGTGGAGGTGGGTGGATCACTTAAGGTCAGGAGTTTGAGACCAGCCGGGCCAACATGGTAAAATCTCATCTCTACTAAAAATACAAACATTAGATGAGTGTGGTGGCAGACACCTGTAATTTCAGCTACTCAGGAGGCTGAGGCAGGAGAACTGCTTGTACCCAGGAGGCAGAGGTTGCAGTGAAGTGAGATCATGCCACTGCACTCCAGCCTGGGCAATAGAGTGAGACCCCCATCTCAAAAAGAAATAACAACAACAACAATGACAACAACAAAAACACATGGAAATTAAACAACATGCTGCTGAATGACCACTGGTTCAAGGAAGAAATTAAAGAGGGAATTAGAAAATGTCTTGGAACCATCACTTGTTCAAGGAAGAAATTAAAGAGGGAATAAGAAAATATCTTAGAACAACTGAAAATCAAAACAACATAACAAAACCGATGAGATACAGCAAAAGCAGTGTGAAAAGAAAACTTTATAGCAATAAATTCTTGTATCAAAAAAGGAGTAAGATTTCGAATAAATGACCTAATACACATTAGTAGAAAGCAGAACTAAGTGAAATAAAGCCACAGCTAACATCATTACTAAATAGGGAAAAGAAAAACATTCCTCTAGCGAAGAGCAGTGGCTCACACCTGTAATCCCAGCACTTTGGGAGGCCGAGGTGGGCAGATCACCTGAGGTCAGGAGTTCGAGATCGGCCTGACCAACATGGTGAAACCTCATCTCTACTAAAAAATACAAAAAATAAAAATAAAAAATAAAAAAGCCGGGCATCATGGTGGGTGCCTGTAATCCCAGCTACTTGGGAGGCTGAGGCACGAGAATTGCTTGAACCCAGGAGGCGGAGGTTGCAGTGAGCCAAGCCCGTGCCACTGCACTCCAGCTGGGCAACAAGAATGAAACTCCTTCTCAAAAAAATGAAAAACAAAAAACAAAAAAAGAAAAAGAAAGAAAAAGAAAAACATTCCTCTAAAGAACTGGAACAAGACAAGGATCTCCACTTTCACCACTCCTCTTCAAGACAGTCCTGGAAGTTCTAGTCAGAGCAACCAGACAAGAAAAATAAAAGGAATACAAATTGAAAAAGGGCAAGCCAAACTGTCCCTCTTTGCAGATGATGCTATCTTAGCTATCTACAAAAATCTAAAGACTCCACCAAAAAGCTCTTAGATCTGATTAATCTAGTAAATCTGCAGGATATAGAATCAACATGTAAAAATCGGTAGCATTTCTATAAACCAATAAGGAACTAGCTAAGAAGGACATCAAGAAAGTAATCCCATTTACAGTAGCTATAAAATAAATATATTACCTAGGAAGAAATTTAAACAGGGATGTGGAAGAGCTCTCCAAAGAAAACTACAAAACACCGATGAAAGAAACTGAAGAGGATGCTAACAAATGGAAAGACATTCCATGCTCTTGGATCAGAAGAATTGGTATTGTTAAAATGCCCATACTACCCAAAGAAATCTACAGATTCAAAGCAATCCCTATCAAAATAGCAATGTAATTTTTCACATAAATAGAAAAAAATCCTAAATTTCATGTAGAACTAAAAAAGAGCACAAATAGTCAAAACAATTATCAGCAAAAAGAACAAAGTTGAAGGCATCACACTGACTTCAAAATATCTTTCAATCCCAACACAGCATTTTATTAGTATAGAAAAAGATACATGCACCTACAGAATAGAATTGAAAACCCAGAAATAAAGCCACATATTTACAGCCAACCAATTTCTCACAAAGGCACCAAGAACATACACTGGGGAAAAGACACTCACTTCAATAAATGGTGCTGGGAAAAGACACTCACTTCAATAAATGGTGCTGGGAAAATTGGATATCCATATGCAAAAGAATAACAGTGGACCCTCACCTCTCACCATATACAAAAATCAATTCAAGATTGATTAAAGCCTTAAATGTAAAACCCAAGACTATAAAAGTACTAGAAGAAAACATACAGGAAACACTTCATGACACTGGTCTAGGCAGATTTTTATGGCTAAGACCTCGAAAGCACAGGCAACAAAAACAAAGAGACAAATGGGACTATACTTAACTAAAATGCTTCTGGACAGCAAAGGAAATAATCAACAGAGTGAAGAAACAATTTGTTGAATGGAAGGAAATATTTGCAAACTATCCATCCAACACAGGACTAATATCCAGAATATACAAGAAACTCAGCAAGGAAAACAATCCCATTAAAAAGTAGGCAAAGGACATAAATAGACATTTCTCAAAAGAAAGCATACAAATGACCAACAAGTATATGAAAAATGCTCAATATCACTAATCATCAGGGAAATGCAAATCAAAACCACAATGAGGTATCATTTTACATCAGCTAGAATGCCACTATTTTAAAAAATGACAAAAAATACCAAAATACTATTTTGAAAAATCTCCACAAAGATGTGGAGAACAGGAAACTGTTATATATTGTTAGTGGAAATGTAAATTAGTATAGCCACGATGGAAAATAGTATAAATATTTTTCAAAAAACTAAAAATGGAACTATCATACAATCCAGTAATCCCACTACTTGATAGTTATCAAAATAAAAAGGAAATCAGTATATGAAACCTGCACCTCAATGTTTATTGCAGCACTATTCACAATTACAAAGGTAAGGACTTAAACCTAAGTGTCCATCAATGGACAAATGGATTAAGACAATTTGGTACGCTATTAAAGAAATATAAAGAAAATGTGGAATACTATTCAACCATAAAAAAGGAATTAAATTCTGTCATTTTCAGCAACAAGGATGGAATAATCATTTTGTAAAGTGAACTAAGCCAGGCACAAAAAGACAAATATCAAATATTGTCACTCATATGTCGGAGCTATAAAAGTTGATCTCATAAGGTAGAGTTGAATGACTAATACCAGAGACTAAGAGAATGTGGGTGACGTGGAAGGGGATGAAGAGAGTTGTTTAATGGGTACAAACAACCAGGTTGATAGAAGAAATAAATACTAGTGATTGATAGCAGAGTAGGGTGACTCCATTTAACTATGTATTAAATATTTCAAAATAGCCAGAAGAGAGGACTTCATATGTTCCCAAAACATAGAAATAATAAATAATCAAGATAATGGATATCCTAAATACGGACTTTGTCATTAACACATTCCATACAAATTACAAAATATCACATATACCCCATAAATATGTACAAATATTATGTATCAATATGAAATAAATAAGTACAGTCAGCCCTCCCTATCTGCAGTTTCCACATCTGCAAGCAAACAGATCAAAAACACAGTATTCTCAGGACTCAACACCCACAGATACAAAGGGCTGATTTTTCATATGCATAGGTTCCACTGGGCCAACTGCAGGACATGGGTATGGGTGGATTTTATCTGTACCAAACCCCTGTGTATACAGAGGGATGACTGTACTTTTTTAGTAAAACGGAATGCCTCCAGTACTGAAACAATGGAATTGAATTATGGCGAAAAAATGTAAAAGGAAAAAAATCATAGCTGAAATCTCTCAAAAACAAGTGAAATGAGAACAAATAAATTTTATTACTTCCTTTCTTCCTCTTTTAACAGGATACTGGTCAGAATTTGACACTATTAAAATG